CTATTACAGCTCCCTTTCAATCACAGAATTTTGCTTTTAAAATACTAATTGATAGTAAAAATGACTACCTGTCAAATTTGCAAAAGGCAACTTCTAAAACTTCAGATTTAGATAGAGAATGAAATTTTAAATAAGCTTATAAAAGTTGATTTTGTTCAAAAAAAAGACTTTATCACTAATGTTAATACTACTAAGTGTAAAATTAAGTATCTGATCATTCTAAATGCTATAGTTGATTCTGATGCTAATTTTCTGATTATAATTAATAATATATCTAAACACTTAAAACTAAAGATTGATATAAATGAAAGGTATAATCTTAAAGGTGTTACTACAGTATCTTTAGAGTTTACTTAGCATAACTAAAAATATATTAGTATATTTTGCTTTCAGATATATTGTATATTCTATTTTTGCAGTACAATTGAATATTACTATAATGAACCTTTATTTTTAAAAATCACAATTCATTATAATGAGAAAATTTGGTAATATTTTCTTAAATTTTAATAATTTATTCATTATATAATGATATCAAATATCATATTTAATCAGATTTCAATAATAAATATCTTAAGAAAAAGTGTTAATTTTAAAGCAATATTATTTAATAAATCAATTTTTAATTTTAAAATATTAATATGCTATTTTTTTCAAAATTGTATTTTCTTTCTAACAAATATTTAAATATAATAAATGAATAAAAATTGAATAAGTTTTATTAGAACCAAAATGGTTTTGAATTTTATGAAAACTGTATAAAAAATACATATTTTACCACTATCCTTATGAAACCCACTTATTAGTTTTTTTATTTGTTTTAACAAATGCATTCTTTTATTCAAAATATTTCAAATAAGTAACAACAACAAATAACAATAAACATTATATTGTAGAGTCAACAATTTCGTTAATTAAGATATAATAATATAAATAGAAATGATCAACAATATGCAATGAAAATTATAAGAAAAATCATGTGATAAAAGAAGGAATAATTATTTTATTAAAAGAAAGAAAAATACTCAGATAAATTACAGACTGTAAAGGAAGATTATACAAGACAGATAAATTACGAAAGAAAATAATTTGAATAAATTAATTATCGAAAGAAAAAAGATAATTAAATAACTGAACGAAGGGTCAAGGGAAAAGGATAATTAATCAACTAAACAGAGGGTTTTATAAAAAGACAGAAAATATTTGAAAAATAACAAATTAAAGAAGTTATATGAAAATGCAAGAAGGTTACATAAAAGGCACAATTATTGAGAATGATGAACCAGATTACATAGAAGCTTATGTAACATAAAGGTTACACATAACATCATAAATGAAACGAAAATCAGAAGAAAAACAGAAGTTAATAGCAATATACATGAAAATGCAAGAAGGTTACATAAAAGGCACAATTGTTGAGAATGATGAACTGGATTATATAGAAGCTTATGTAACATAAAGGTTACACATAACATCATAAATGAAACGAAAATCAGAAGAAAAACAGAAGTTAATAGCAATATATATGAAAATACAAGAAGGTTACATAAAAGGCACAATTGTTGAGAATGGTGAACTGGATTATATAGAAGCTTATGTAACATAAAGGTTACACATAACATTATAAATAAAATGAAAATCAGAAGAAAAACAGAAGTTAATAGCAATATACATGAAAATGCAAGAAGGTTACATAAAAAGCACAATTGTTAAGAATGATGAACTGGATTACATAGAAGCTTATGTAACATAAAGGTTACACATAATATCATAAATGAAATAAAAATCAGAAGAAAAACAGAAGTTAATAGCAATATACATGAAAATGCAAGAAGGTTACATAAAAGGCACAATTGTTGAGAATGATGAACTGGATTATATAGAAGCTTATGTAACATAAAGGTTATACATAACATCATAAATGAAATGAAAATCAGAAGAAAAACAGAAGTTAATAGTAATATAAAATATGGTAGAAAAACAGAAGTCTGAAAAAGTAAGAAAGAAAACCAGAAGTGATAAAACATTAAAGAATTAAAAGAAAAACAAATAAAAATTAATATAATAATAGTAAAATTAATATAATAGAAGTATGAAGTAATAAAATGAATTGAAAGTAAATAATGAATTATAGAAATACAGAATTAAGGATATTTCAGAATTAGGAAAAGTAGAAATTCATAGTAGGAAGTAAAATAACGAGTTAAAGTAAATATTTAATAATACATAGTTTTTAATTAGAATTCTCATCACATGAACATCATATATCTACTATATAAATTTATTATATAAACTCTTTGAATACCTTTAAGTACCGCTCGCATATTCAATTTTTTCAAGAATAAAAAAAAATTTTAATAAATAAACTTTTAATACAAATAAAAATGAATACTTTTGTTTAAAATAATTAATTGTTAAACAATTAAATTATGGATATAAATAAAGTTATTTCACTTGTATATAAATTTAATTTTAGAAAAATGTTAATGAAATAATGCAGGAATAAAACTCAGAAGGAAAAATAAAAATATGACAAAAAGTTAAAAAATATTTAAACACAATTAAAAAGATATGAAGAAAAATAAACAAGAATATTAAATGAAATATTAAGGAATAATAAAGAGAAGTAATATTTGCAAGAGATATTTGAAAGAAACATTTGGAAGTAATATTCAGAAGAAATATTCAGAAATAACATTTGGAAGAAACATTCAAAAGAAATAATTATAAGAATATTCAGAAGTAACATTCAGAAGAAACATTTGAAAGAGATAAGGATATAAAATAATTAGAATTAATAATAGAAGGAATACAAAGAAAGAATAAATAGAATAGAATAGTTGATGCCTAGTACTCAAATAGTATTTTGAATACTTATAGTGAAAGTATTGTATATATTTGCTGATGGTCTATTAACGCTGATGCTACTGAAATTATATGAGGTTTGAAAACTTAAACTAATATTAAAAATAATAAGAATAAAAAGAAGAAATACAATAATTAAAGAAAAATAAAAAATAATTAGACTGAAGATTAGACAACAATAATATTGAAAAGAAATTATTAAAGGAAATTATTGCTCAATATGAAGGAAAGGATTCTCAGCAATTAAAAATTAATTTGTAAAACAAATCCTCTTGATAACGAGTGGCAGAAACGGTCAAGAAGGTACAAGCTATGTTGAAGCTTATCGAACTCAAAAATGCTATACATTTGTAAAACAAGGTTTATGGCAACTATAATGTATTATGCATATTATGTAATTGAATATCTAACTGTACACATTTTTTGCAATTAAAATTTTCATAATTTTAAATTTACAGTTTCGCAATTAAAATTTTCAGCAATTTCAGATTTGAATTGTAGAAATTAAATAAATTAAATCAACTAATTAATTGCTACTAATTCAACACTAATTAATCCTAGATTTAATACTAATTAATCCTTATAAAAAATTTATTAAATAATTTTACATATTTTATTATATTTTTGCAAATATTTAAATTATTAATTTATACTTTATTTTCCTTTAATAGTAATACAAAAAAAAATTTCACTATATTTCTTAAATTTAATATAAAAATTTGTTATATAAAAACTTTGTTAACAAAAGTTCCATTTATTATACTTAGTATAGGATTTACAAGTTATGAATATTGTACAGTGTGTTATTTATATTAGTTAACGTCACTTTGTGATGTTAATCAATAAATAACCACTGTATAATATCTATATTATTATACAGTTCATAAGATAATATTTTATAAAAAAAGGCTTATCAAATCCTAACAATTCTTTTTCTAATTTCTATTATTCTTTAACATTATCTCAAACTAATATGCAATGCAAAATAAAAGCATTTATAAAAAAAAATTCTTATTATATTATAATTTCTAAATCTCTAGAAAATAATATTTTCTGCTATTCAATGCAAGGTTTGGTTAAAATAATTATTCTGCAGTAGGAATATAATAAAAGAAATGATAGAAGAATTTTATTATCTTATGTTAATAATTTACATTTTTTTTTACGTGGCTAATTCCAGCTTCTTATAATGAAAACAGTTATGATAATTTTTTAAATATTAAAGTAAAGCTATCTCTTCTTTTCAAATTAATTAATTACTATAAAGGTCAAATATCTCATATAAGCCATTGCAATATATCAATACTAATTATAACTAAGTAATTAATGCTTTTTATTATAGTGAATTTAAGAAAGGCTAATTATTATGGATATTAATATAAAAATAATTTTTTTTATTCTTTAACTATATAATTAACTATGAAATTCAATATTGAACACAAATAAGATACTAATATTCAATATTGTACGATGATTAGCTATTGATGCTAAATATTATAATATAAAAAAATATTGGTCAAACGACCTCATCATGATCATATATGACCGTGCGATAATTCGTTATACATAATATTATAAAAATTCGTTATATTCGGGACCACTCATGAAATTCACAATAACAAAAATTTCGGAATATAGAAATTCGTTATGTGAGGTTCAACTGTATATAAAATATTGAACAAAAAAAACAAAAGCAAAATATATATAAAAATGTCAGAAAAGAATTTCGTTAATTTAATCACAATCATATTTTCTTATAAAATTATAAAGAGTTTTAAGTTAAATCACATCGGCGGTGCGAATTTTTGACGGCTACGGTATGTTCCATTGGAACTTTCTGATCTTTGGTGTCGATAAACCCGAGTCTATCATTCATCATCAAAAACATCAAAAAAAAAAAAAAGATTTTTCATGTAATATGATTGACTCAATTTTGATTTATTGCCGTATTGGGCTATAAATAAAGAATAAATCAATGTCTTATAAATATATGAAATATAAAGATTATTTTTCATATTTCTCAACTATCCAAGTTTTCAAAACTATGTTTTTTACAAGAAGTTATTAGTTCAATCACGTCAAAATTATCACCTATCGAATGGTTTACCTGGTTCACTTATTTCATGATTCTTCCAATGTGTTCTATATTCGGCTGGCTGGTTTGTTTCCTCACGCTGCCAACTTTTAATCTCTATCGTCTTTCTAAATTTTTTTCATTTTCACCAATGTCACATTTCTTTAGGCTCTACCATTCGTCACTATTGCTTTTATTGTTGCTAACGTATTTGGTGTTATTCAATTATTTTTAAGAAGCGGAAGGTGAGTGAATGCAATATCAAATATTAGATTCACGTGATATAACTGATAATCTATCTAATAATTATCTAACTATTCTATGCCATAAAAAAGCCAACCAGGCGCTTATCCTATGAACACTTCAACTGACAACAAGCCTATCCAAGATTCTACCTCCAACCTGCAGGACACACCCGTTCCTACCAACAAAGTTCCACATTTCTCAGTTTCCCGATCCTAACAAAAGAACACGTGAAAATGACAATTTTAAACAAACACCCATGAATGATACTTTTGAAACTTCGAGTGATTATTACATAAACGAGTAAGTAACTAAGTATAATGTGTAATTTTATCCAAGCAATTGTAACTAACATCTTTTTTAGAATGTTCTGATCTACCCGAGAGGCTCTTATAACCATCCTTTCACAAGCCTCCGAAGATGATATCAGAAAATACGATGAACAACTTAGCTAAGTGGATGATTTTGATCCTGTTCTTATTATTTCAGCAAATCAGAATTGGACTAATCAACATATACGTACGCAGCTTATCAACGCATTTGCAACCGATAATCTCCTACCAAACCGACGCAGAGATGAGAATTCTCTCTGTGTATTCCATTTCGTAAATTTTCATTAACTCTACACCGTACGTGATAACATTTGGACAAATCATCCCAATGCATTCTACGATCGTAATTCTCAACCTCGACAAGAACCTATTGGCACTGCATGGATTCTTAATAATGTGGCAGTGCAAAAGAGTGATTTTGCGGAGGATGACAGGTTTTTTACCGTTTTATGAGTAACTTTTTTTAAGTTAATCATTCACTTTCTCTTCTTCTCGGAGCGTTTTATTGATTTTTTATTGTTGTACCGTAAAAAATATTTGCAATGTTGTAATGAATCATAGAAAATACAAATAAATTCATGTTAAAAGTTTTTATCATCTAATATATACCACGCCCTACATACATCGCAACACAGCATAAAAAATCGCGAGCATAACTTTATTATAAGATTGAGAAAAAAAATGACAGAGGATTGAAAGCGAATTATATGATGCTATCAAAGAGGGCACTTAAATAATTATTATCACCATCGCTATTAATGCGACTGCAACCGCTACTGCCTCTACTTGCAAAAATATCTGTCTTTTTTCTCTCCCTTTTCGATCCATGGAATATTGGCGTGATTTATTGGTCTGATTTATTGATTAGCAGTATGGGAATGCGCTCTAGCTTGAAAGATTTTTATTTCTTACAAGAACAATTCCGATAGTCTTATTATATTTAATCTTATTCCACAGCCGACAACAAAACATAAAACTTCTTGGATCAACGCTGATAACCTATTTCTAGTAATTTACTGTGCATTGCTCTCGAGCGATCAAATAAATGTTAGCATATAGGAATAAATCGTTATTGGCCCCACCTTTTCGCATAAATGTACAATATCAGAAAATTATTTAAATTCTTTCTTGAAAAATGACCTTTTGAAACCTAATTCTCGAAAAGTTTATTGTAAAGTTAGTGCGTCCGTTACGCAGTCGAAAACTTCATAAAAAGTTAATTATTCTTATTTTAATTTACCATACACGAAAAATATATTGTTTCAAGAATCAATGTTGAAATTGAATCAACCATAAAAATTAAATTCTAAAAAATTTCTGTACTGCAAATTGATTTTTACCAAAATTATTATACCTAACATAATCTGGAGAAATTGGGATGCTAACGGTCGGTCACGTCGGTCAATGGTACTGATCATAGTTACCGACCGTTTACCTAATTAATTTTTTATACATCATCCGGTTAATTAACATTATTAAATTAATTTTATCAGTTGAAATTAGGTCCATTAACTATTCATTAATAAATTTTTTTTAGAAAGTAGCGAACTGTAACAGTTATTGAGTAATGTAGAAATTAGTCGAAAAAATTAAAAAGCTTATTTTATCATGTATTAGAAAATATTCGACGAAGCTTAAATTTATTAATTTTATTTGAAATATAAAATTTTCTTTTAACGTTAGTCACGAACGATCCACACATATGCGTCCTAGGATCTCCAAACAAGGGGAAAGCATGTAAATCCATGCGATCCGGAAGGAGTACCCTCGACAAAGGGACGGTTTGACATCGCCGTTAGATTGCAGAACGAGGAAATACTT